AGCAGCTCAAGAAGAAATGAAGCAGGAATTAAAATCAGTGTAAAATGATATATGAATGGGACAAGAAGAAATGAAAACAGAAATAAAGAACGTACAAGAAGCAATAAATACGAGAATGGAGGACAAGATAAATGATATTAGAAATGAAATGGAAAAGAAGATAGACGAAAGAGAAATCGTAATGGAGAAAAAGAAGAAATGAGAGAATAAGAAATAAGAGAAGAAGTGAGAAAATAAATTGAAAGGCTAAGATAACCTCTACTGCTAGAGGCGAAGATCCCGATGCAAGGCCATCCAAAATTACACCTCCAACGTGGTTTGTTTACTTGAAGCTGTTTGGAGCAGCGGCAGAAGCAAATTCCTGAACTGATTCGGAGAAAGCAACAGCACTAATAGTTTCTTTACTAGGAGAGGCGCTGGATATACTCCAAGGAATACTCGAGTCCCAATAATATAACTTCCACCATCTCGTTAACCGCCTAGAAATACCTAGATAAACATCTACAACAGGTACATCAGAGGCAAAGGAAAAGCCGTAACCAAAGAAGTAAAGAGACTCTTCAGCAATTTCAATCCGATGTGGAGCGCCTCGTAACATTAGTCTACCCATCTGCCACTCAAGAGTTCATAGCCCAACTGGCGGTACAAATATTATCGACGAAGTCAGGGACGGTGAACTACAGCAAGTCTTAAGATTAGCACGCTAAAGGACACCAAGTGAAGCACTATCACACTCCCTAGAGTTTGAAGCAGCGAAAGGTCATATGTGTGTACGATAAACAGAAATTGACGATCAGACAATTACAAAACAAGGTGTCATGTCGCTCATCAGGGAATGCGTAATCGATGTCAAGAAAGCCACTGCTAGAAACACGGGAGAATGGAACCCAAAATGTTGGGAATGTGGAAGAACTGATCATTTTGCCCGAGACTGCAAGAACTACAGTAGTCGTCCAAAATGTTGGAATTGTAGAAGAATAGGTCACCTAAATCAAGATTGCCCTTCAAGAGAACGAAATCCAAAATGTTGGAAATGTGGAAAAATTGATTGTTGTGCTCGAATCTGCAGGAATTACAGTGGTCGTTCTAAGTGCTGGAATTGTGGAAGAATTGGTCACCTAAATCAATATTCCCCCTTAGACAATACACAATCTTTAGGCGAAAATAGACGACAGTCGGAAGGGTTACAGCGGCAAAACAACACATCAACGCAGTAACACTTGTTTGGGAAACTGCAAACATTGTTCATCTGTAAAAAAAAAAAGAAAAACTGGCATCGATCTGTTGTAAGCTAACCATCGCTCAGCCAGAGGATATTTGGGAAGATAAGGCATTAATCGAAGACCAGAGGAAGGACGAAGATATTCACACAATAACGAGATGGGAAGAAGCCGGAATCTCAAGACCATTGTGGACAGATGTAAACCACCTAAGTCAAACAACGAAAAGTGATTGGGCGCAGTGGACTTCTCTAAACTTGGACAATGGCGTTTTGAATAGAATGTGGGAAAGTCTAGATGGAACAAGAAACAAGCGCCAAGTGGTACTTCCGAAGAAAAGAAATTCAGAAGTCTTAAAAGCAGTCTATGGCGACTCTAGGGAAGGTACACCAACGATTTTATTGGCCACGAAATAGAAGCGATGTGGAAGACTGGTGCAGGAATTGCCTGATATACGTCATCAGTAAAGGACCGAAAACAAGGAGTCGTGGACGAATGCAGCAGTACAACGTGGGAGCGCCATTTGATAGAATCGCAGTTGACGTGGCAGGACCATTCCCAGTGACTGATTTTGGTTACCGATACATGTTGGTAGTCATGGATTACCTTAGTAAGTGACCCGAAGCATATGCGATACCGAACCAGGAAACACACCGTTGTTGTGAAGTTTGACAATGACTGGACTAGCCGATATGTAAAATTTATCGTAATTTTAATGAAGTTTAGGACAGACTAACTTAATAATTGCCACTAATAGTTTATTTTGTCGTTAATTTAATTCTATTATGCTTATCATAATTTGCTGTTTGTATTTTAAAAACATTTTTTTCGCTAATTATTCTGGGCGCTACAGGCATTTATTATATTTATTTAATTCTCTTCTCTTTTTTTCGAAAACTAATATGAGGAAGTACAGAAAATGATTTCGTTGTGCTCTGCAACGATCATTAATGACAACATTGTCGTGATAAATGAACAACAATCCAAATACGTAAACTCGTCTTTATATAACGCTAAATAATAATGTGAGCACAAAAACATATTTTTTAGTTAAAAATGAAGTTGAAAGGTTAGTGATTTAACTAAATCTTTTATAAATACCCATATTAGATATCGGATTTTTGGAATATATTAAAACAATTTAGAATTTTTAACTTGTCGACACAAACGCAGACGAAATCGTTTATTTCCGGGCTTTACGAGTAACTTATCACTTTATTGAAAGATAAAAGGGAATTGCTTGATGATTTTGAAGATATTGCTGGTAAAAATCTTAAGAAGAATACGGAAGCAGTCAAGAGGATTAAGAGGAAGAAACGAGACATGATGTATGCTTTGACTCTTTGGTGAGATGGAACGTGATCCTTTTTCCAATATGCAACCAATTTTTGAGCGAGTTAATAAATGGTGTTTACTCTTTTGTGTGACTATTTTTCAGTAATAAAAAGTTTTTTCGGTTTTCTTCATTAACCAATGGGATAACAAACCTTATATGCCCAAGACGACAAATCTTAAAATTCACAGTTAAATTTTGGGCTTCGATTTATTTCAGTTTTTCTTCAAACATATAGTAGGTGCCCAAACGTAGTACCTACTATATGCTTATAATGGGTGCCTGTAAATAGTGAACATTTCGAGTAATTTTGATCATTTTTAATCTTCACCCCTAATCAAGTCTCATCGGCGTAACAACTACAAATGGCGGTATTTTTTGGAATTTAATCATAAATATTGTACATTATGTTCTTGATTTTATAAAAAATTTAAGTCAAAAGATCGGTTAACAAAATTAATTTGGACAAAATTATAATTAACAACACAAACAAAATGGATCCACCGAAAATGTAGGGAGTATATAAAATATACTTCAAAAACTATGAAGCGACATACATATATTGGACAATCCAGAAGAAGCATTTCAATTAGATTATAAGAGCATCAAAAATCAATTACCAACAGTATAAAAAACACAGCCATGACTTCTAATTGTATAGAAAATAATTACTCTTTAGTTTTAGAAAAAATTGATTTATTACATCACGAAAGGTCCTAGATTAACTAGTTATAGGTAGCAGTTGTTAAATACATAATTTTAAAACATTATAATGCTTTTCTATCCTGTGTAAATTTATTAACAAAAGTTTCATAGTAAGTCATCACAAAATTCGTTTTATAAGCCTAGGGTATTTCACATGCTGTCTCTTTCCAAGGGTTATCAGTGAACAATCATAATAAATATTTAAAAATTCTTACCTTGAATTTGATTATTTCAAAAAATGTGAATACATATTACGAAATCGAGCATTCTTTTCTGCATGCGATCGTCCACACGCACGTGTAGAAAATGCGAAAATGCGTCAGTCGCTTCTCACTGCTTCTAAGCTGTTCTACTAACATTCACTGAACATAAATGTGCCCGAATGTCTAACAATAAGTTTATAAATTCGTTTAATCAATATACGAATTCTATCTATTATTACTAAATGATTAAGCAAAAGTGTATAACATAATGTTAAAGTTAATGATAACGATGTATTCGTATTTTAATTATCCATCTGAAGGTTTTTACGTATATGTATTAGTTCATATTTTGTTTTTTGTTCGAAATTTCATACTAAATTAATCCAAGCATTTTCAACAATTCAAAGTGGTCTAATTTTCATTGAAGAATTATTGGTTCCTATTTTGTCTTTATATATTTAGTCTTTACTATTGAAATGATAAAATTCGGTTTATTTAAAACCAGAATATTCAATACGAGAGATTTTCAAAAATGAATAGTATACTTTTGTTAATGGAGCAAANAGAAGTAAAAGTTAGAAAGTGAGAAAATGAATAAAAACATATGAATCAAATAAGTGGAATAGTGATATCAAAAATCAAGAACGGCAGGTTAGATTGAAAAAAAAAAAATACAAATTTTTCGTTTTTGTATTTATTTATACCGAGAATTTTTAAATATACCGGCATTATTCGTATACAAGGTGTTTGGTAACTGGACCAAAAGTCAAATGAAATGTAATATCAAAAATGGAATTCTAATAATAAATCAAAGAATAATTTTTCTGAGATAGAGCTTCATTTAGCGGGTATTCAGTTTTTTAAAAATATTTTATTGTTGTGACAACACCGATGGAGCCATTCATTCGACGTTTCATAAACTTTTGTGACTGGACATCTTCAGGGAACGTAGCGAGGGCGTAAAAGTTCTGCTGGGGTTCCACTGAGACTGGGTCTCCCGTTCAGGGTAAGTGAGAATGTCTAGAATGTTCTCGAATGGCTGTGTCGCTAAGATTGCATTTACCTAGAATTTATATAAAAAAAAAATAACTAATCGTATTGATCAAGAATAACAAACTCTGCAAAAGAGATTTATATTTCAGGCAGTTTTTTAATACGTTTTTCTTTTCTTGTTTGAAGTTTGATGGAAAATGGAAATCGTGAAAATTAATTTTACATTATACTGTATTTTTACATCAGGATACCCACGTATCAAGCTGAAAATACAAACTGCATTTTTTAATAAAATTGAAGGTTGCTTCTTATGGACAAACAAAGAGGAAAAAAAGATCTGGAAAATTAGTACACAGAAAATAAATAAAAAATTCAAAAAATCTACAATGACATTGATTTATGTTTATGGAACAACATTTAAATTTAATGGGAAGTAATTTGTTTTAATGTATTTAGTCAATATTGTGTAAATAATAGGTTAAAATACTTATTACGTATGTATGTTATTTTCATTTGTATAAATTAAAAAAAATAAAATGCAGATTATTCATTTTGTTAACATTATTTATTGACTTACTTTAATGTTTAATAAACAATAGATAAGAATAATTCGATAAAACATTGAAACACAGTTAAACCAAAAAATCAGTTGTTAATTTTATTCATGAAAATTGAAAGGATTTCAGGTACTAGTCCGTAAATTGACATATACTGGAATTGTTTATTGACACAAATAGCGCAGAAATATTTCGTAATAAGTACTGACAAACAAGTTGATTATTGGATTGTTACAGTAACAGTAATACCTGACACCCTTAAGACATTAATTACTGTAGAGAGCCGCTTCTTTTTCCCCAGATGCCTTTCAAATTAGTCCAAGCTGGTTCCCTCTTTCCCCAGGCTCCTACACAAAACAAAACAATGTAAGAGAATACACAAAAATATTCTAAGGTAGGTAATTTGCAAGTTTGATAATAATATTTTATGCATTTACTTATAATAAAAAGACGTTCCAGAAGAAAAATGTTTTAAATACAATGAATCTAAATAAAATACACGTTTTGGAAATATCCATATGTGACTGTTTTTTAACATTTAATATTTGTTTATGAGATATAAACAATCGTTTCTAAACCCTTAAAAAGTATAGTATATCTGGTAATTCGATATTTCAAAACAAGGAATTGACTGGAGCAGGTGAAATAAGATATAGTGAGGGGCGGAAAATCATTCATTTACTTTCATTTCTTTCACGTGGAGCGCGCATGTGAGACGAAATAATTACAGGGGAAAAATGAAATATCAAAGTCATTTAGGGTTGCCACCTTTTCCGGCTTTACATAAAGTATTTCTCGACTAAAAGGTTAAAAAAAGTGTACTCGGCATAAAAATAAAGTATTTAATTTTTTGTTTTACCTAGCAGCCAGTAACAAATTGCTGTCGCTCTTAAATACATTAATAACCTCTAAACATAGCAAACAAAGATTTAAGTAAACTAAAAGTTCATTTTTAATTAGTTTTAATGAAGCTTTATTCCTGTCGTCCCGCCACTTTGCGTTCATAACAGAGAATACTCTTTCTGTAAATGCTGAAGTGGCCGGAACGGACAGCA